AAGAGTGGGATTATTCTTTATTAGGGATATAAAACCTGCTGAGGCTGTTCTTGCATATGCAAAAGCTTGCTAAAGTCAATTGATTTCTAATAGTGATAAGACGTTTTTATTGTACATCCTAACACATCGTATTTCTATCTGACCCTACTAACAGCCTCTGAGCCGAGGGGCAGAAGCTCCATTTCACAGAAGAAATTGATGCCACTCACCCAAGGTGACAGTCACCACAGTAGGGTCAGGAGTCACTCCGAGATCTTTCTGCCCCCAATGCCAGTTTTACTTTTCCCCTCCCATGTGGGTGGTCCTTTGGAAGAACCATGCCCTAAAATGTCATTTGTAAGTCCCTCATTGGAACATGGAACTTTCTCTTTAGAGAAAGAAAGAAGTGGTGATTCCCTTCCCAGGTTGCCCCCAAAGGACTATTTCGACCATGACATAGCAGAGCCGAATGAAGTCCTGTGACTTCAGAGTGCTGAGGCCTGGGGCCGGGAGAAGTTGAAAGGAATAGGTGGGCGGAATTTTCATTGCCCACCAGCTGAGCGGGCTTCGCCTGCATAAACTTCCCAGTGTTCAGTGATGGTGGGGCCTCCTTCCGCCTCCTCCCCCCATCCTCCTTCGCATACCTGCAGTGTGGAGAGTTTCTCCACACAAGGGAGCCCTTCCCTGTGCCCTCTGGTGTCCGTGTGCCCTCTGGTGTCTGGAGCTGCAGTGAGGGAAAGGCACCAACTAAAATGAGCTTTTGCATCAGGTTCAAGCTCTGGTTTCCCGCTCCACCTTTCCTTAACGTCTGGCTGGACGTTTCTGGCTGCCCTGCTTCTCTCACTGGCTTTGTCTCATGGCCTCCAGGAGCCCAAGTGGACAAGGGGATGGGGGCGTGGATCTAGCAGTGTGGAGTCATGGGATCAATCCGTGGGGCTCTACTCAGCCAGCCGGAGGGAGATGCCAAGTGGCGTTTGCTTACTGATTAGGACATTGTCCTGGGTGGGACATGGGTTGTTCCTTGCCCACTTAAAAATAACTGAGACCCGGAAATCTGGCCGAGCGTGATGAGTGGATGCTGTTTAACCCGGATGCCTTTTTCCAGGTACCTGCACCTTGAGGCCAGCAGCTGTGACTGGGAGGGCTCCCGGAGGTACTGTGTGCAGTAGCGGCTGCGTGGCTGTGTAGTCAGACAGCCTGGAGGAGCTGGCCACGCGGGAGCCTGCGTGCTGCACCTGCTCTGAGTCCCCAGTGCCTTCCCAAGTAGCATGACCCTCGTCATCCTCTGTCCTCTAGCGCACACATCTTCATGTTGAACCTTGTGTCTGTCGTGTACCTGACTGCGGCCACAGCTGGCTCTTCCCCGGTGGTGGGGCCGGCCGAGTCGGTGGTGCAGGGGAAAGACCCCCTCCAAGCTTGGCCAAGTTGGAGGGTGGGAGCTTTTTATGATTCCCTGGAGGCAGACCCTCTTTACGAAGAAACTCTGAGGGCCTTGCAGCAGTGTGGAAGCCGCCCTCCTCTCTGCACCCCTGCACATGGCTGGCCTGAGGTTCAAGGCCTCGTAACTGGGCTTTCTTTCTCCAGGTTGGACTGGAGTGCTCTGATCCCCTTGTGGCTGCGACAGCGGCAGTTAGGGCTGCAGGCCAAAGGCCAAAACTTCATGCTAGAGGACTCCACCTTCTGGATCTTCGGGGGCTCCATCCACTATTTCCGGGTGCCCAAGGAATACTGGAGGGACCGCCTGCTGAAGATGAAAGCCTGTGGCATGAACACCCTTACTACGTAAGTGCCACGCCCATACCCCACCTGCAGGCCTGGCTGCCAGGTAGGGGATCCCCGTGTCTGCCTGAGGTAGAGTTAAAAGAGGAACCAGCCCAAGCCCTCTGCTAGGTCTGAGGGAAAGACTCTCCCTTCCTCCTTGTCCTGCAGAACTCCTGTTACTGTGCATGGGAAATGCAGATAGGGGCTAAAGGAAATTTGGGGGTGAGTGATGCTGCGTGAGAGTGTGGCGAGGGAGGCGAGTGTGGGGTCGGAGGTGATCTGGCGATGGCGGAGCCTCCCGTCCCTGCCCCTTTAAACCAGAGGAGCGCAACCTTTCTCAGAGCAGCTCCTGCAGAAGCCGGCTGGGGGCTTCCAGCTTTCTCCTTTTGAACCTCGCAGAAGGCTGTGCTGTTCTGTGGCACCTGGCGTGATGATTAGCACGTGGCAGGTCTGCCGTAAAAGTTGAGTGTGCGCATCATTTAAAGATAGACTCGGTTGTGGAAAATCTTGATCTTTTTGCAGACCTATTTTTCAAAGTTTCCAACAGATATTTGGCTGCAAGTCTACGAAATAAAGTGGGTTATCCGGCTGCGCTATTCCATTTTCAGGCAAAACTATGCAATACAAATCAAAGAGATGGATTTTCTTGGGTGGTTTATGAACTGGCTTTGAAGACAGTTCCTAAAAGAGTTACAGGAATGTTCTGAGCTGTGACAGCTTTGTTGAAACGAATGTGTGCAACTTCCCAGAAAGGACTCCTGAAGGTTGCGGGAATCCTGCTGGGTAAGCCGCCTGCCTCAGAAGCAGGGCAACCCATGGTCCCTTCAACATGGAGCTCTCCAGTCTGCTCCGGAAGCCAGAAGGCCTGCCTTCTCTTCACCTGGACTATTCTTTGCAGCTGGACAGGAGCAAGAAGCCGGCGGTGGGGGAGTCAGGGAGAACAGCTGTCATCACCATGGTCAAACCTAAATCTTACCCTCTGCCTCTCAGTCTGGGCTCTCAAGAGGTTACTTGGGTTCTTTATCTTCTCTATTTTTTATATACAAAGAAATGACAGTTTATTTATTCTTTCTTCCGTGAGCATGATAGATAGTAAGAGAGAGAGAGAAAACTCTATAGGGTCCCCATGCTCTGATCCAGCCCTGGCTTCAGCTAGCCACAGGCATGCCTGGTCAGTTCAGGGAGGTCTCCAGAAGTGAAACTGGAACTTTCCCACGTGGGTCTGCCTTTCAAAGACCGTTTCCCACCACTGCACAGCGTTCAGCCCCTCCCTTTCCCTTTCGAGTTAGAACCTCCTTGTGTTACGAGTTGAGAAATTCTGGATGCGCCCGTCCAAGTAGGGCTGGCCACAGAGGTTTCCTCTTCCCCTGCTTTGAACTGTTTTTCTGAAGAAGTTACTTCTTGTCTGGTGAGGGGTGGGGGTGGCAAGCTGACCTTGGGTCCTTGGCCTGACATTTGACTGCACCCTGACCTTCTCTCCCTTCTCCTAAAGGACATTAGTTCCCGGAGGCTTGTCCTGGGTTCTCCACAGTTCCTCGGTCTGCTCAGTTAGTCCTTTGTCCAGTTCTGCAGCGATTAAGAAACACATCTTGGGTTAGCAGGTGGTGTGGTAGTTTAGATGCCAGACTCCTACAGGCCACCGTGGTCCAAGTCCCAGACCTGGTGGCTTGAAAATCATGTTGGGTATGCGTACCCAAAATTCCAGGAGGAGAAGGGATTGCGGTATGGCCATACCCCCCTGGGGGGTGATTTCTCACTTTCGCTGTCTCTCTCTCTCCTTCTTTGGCAAGCATAAGTGCACACACCTATGGTAGAAACATTAAAAAGAAGAAAAAAGAAAAGAGACAGGCCGTCAGCAAGCACAGTGGGTTCAGGCATGCAGGTCACCTGGGAGCTGAAGTAGGATAAATGACAAGCTCATGCCTGTAATTATCCCTTTCTCTTCCAGCTATGTCCCGTGGAATCTCCATGAGCCAGAAAGAGGCAAATTTGACTTCTCTGGGAACCTGGACCTGGAGTATGTGGCATGGTGGCTTCTGTGACCTGGTTGGGGTGGAGGCAGAGGTGGTCCCTTGGGGTTGATTAGGAGCCAGGGGGAGCCAGAGAGGGCTGGGGTCTGAGGCCTTGTTCTCAGTCTGGGACAGGCTCCCAGCTCTGACTTGCCTTCCAGAGGGGCCAGGCCAGTGCCCTAGGCCCCACCTCCTCATGACACCCCAGGGAGCCAAGAGCCCACCCACACTGGACGTTGCAGTTGGGTCCGGTCTGGTCACCTGGTTTAGCAAGGCTGTTGGGGCCAGGCTTGCTATGAGGACCCCTGGACTCTGTCTGATGCCCTCCCGCCCAGGCCCCCAATGGGCTACCGAGATAGCCCCAACACTAGAGCCCTGCCTCTGACCTGGTGGAGGGATCCCCTGCTCTTCCGGGTGGCTGGGCCTTCCTTGCACCCCAGTCTCCCTGGGTGGGAGAGGAAGTGAGGACGGGTCAGGCAGCTCACCCCCCCTGCGGTGTGTGGGGGCTGCCTCCCCACCGGCCTTGCTCTGCACCCCATGAGAGGCACTGACGTGGGCTCCTCCCCAGGGCCTTCATCCTGCTTGCTGCGGAGCTGGGGCTGTGGGTGATCCTGCGTCCAGGCCCCTACGTCTGCAGCGAGATCGACCTCGGGGGCTTGCCCAGGTACGTGGGGCTGTGTGGGGCTCCAGGAGGCTGGAGGAGCCTGTAAGCTAATCTGTGTGCACAATCCTCGGAGATGTAGATTAGTTTTGCTTTTAAAGTTCACTTTCCACTGCGCATTGGATTCCTTTTCATCCAAGGGGGATCATTTCGAACAGTGTTGCAGTTCCTGATCCCTTAAGTCCCGTGTGGACTGTGCTCCATGGCAGGAAGAGGAGGGAGGTTGGCCCGTTTGAGGTATCTCATTCCTCAGTTTCTGCTGTGTAGAGAGACCCGGAAGGCCCCTTATCTGCTCCGGACCTCACATCCTCTCTCCAAAATGGGAAGCACCACACCTGCCCTATCTGTTCCTTAGGGCTGCTGCCAGGCATTTCTGTAAAGTGCAGGTATTTTGACTGATCAGAGAAGCTGCTGTTACTGTTTCTCCTCGAACCTCAGCCCTGATGTATTCTCTTGGATGTACAGCGACTGAGATCACAAGGCATTCTGGGGTTCAGGGGAGAGCTCTGGACCGGAGTCAGCTGGGACAACATGCATTCCTGTCCTTGTCATTACTGCCATTATTTTTTAGCACAAGCATTTTGTCATTTTAATAAGCATAAGCTTCCCTGTCCTCACACTGAACCAGGCAGTTAGACCCAGGCCCCACCCCTGGATGCCCGGAGAGGGGAAGAGGCCAATCTGTTTTCTATGCGGTCTCAGGGGACTGGCCTGTCCCCACAGGCCATTCTTTTTTCTATGCGGTCTCAGGGGACTGGCCTGTCCCCACAGCAAGGCACCAAGCCCGGGCTTCTTCCTCCCTCCTTTCTTTTTTTATTTTTAGGTTGTCAAAAATGTCATAATGCCTTTTTGTATAGAAAAACATAGGAAAAATATGTCATGACTTTTCTGACAACTTGATATTTATTTAATGTTATTAATTATTATTTTTTAATTTGACCAGAGAGTGAGAGAAAGAGAGAAAGTGAGAAAGCAAGCCACCAGATCCAGGACTTGAACTGCAGTCAGCTGTGTGGGAGTCCAGTGCCTTAACCACCACTCAGCCCTTTTCTCCCTCCTTTTTAGCACCACCCACCCTTCCCCTGGGCACAGCTTCTGTCTTCACCTCCTTTTCTCCCCTCCCCAGGCCCCCTCTTTGTGTTGCTCAGCCTGGCACAGCGTCCTTGGTAAGGCTGTGAGGGCAGCCAGGGCAGCCTGCCCCTGCCCGCGGATTAGACATCCGTGTGCTGTGCTCAGCGATTTCCTGCGGCTCAGCTGGGCACATGGGGTTTAACAGCCTGAAATTAGAAGCAGCAGGGAGCACTAGCTGTCAGACCTTCCTGGAGGCACCTGCCTGCCATGGGGTGTGGGGCACGCCCTGGGTACTGGGGTCTTCCCCAACCAGTCTGATGTGAGACGGAAGGTGGTGGTTCGTCTATGGGAAACTGCTGTCTCCTCTTTTTTGTCTTTTTTTACCATCACAAATCGATAATTTTCTGACCTTGTGCAACCCTTCCCAGTCAGGGCAAGAAAGCCTCTGAGCTCTTCATTAGAAAACATGTTTTCTCAGAACTCCGAGTGAGACGGAAATCTCGGCTCTGGCTCTGGCGCTAGCGCCGGATGCTGTGTTCCTTCGGGGAATCTGAGATCCCGACTTACAGGCTGGAGAAAGGCTCCTCCTTCTTTTATTCCATATTCCGTCTTCTAAGTGAATTTCTTTCTTCTGAGAGAGAAATACTGGGGGAGGGAGAGAGGAACCCCAGTGGAATTCTCCTTCCGCAGTGCACCCCCAGGCCCTGCTGGGCAGGTCACAGGCACATGCTTGCACCCGGTGTGCTTGGGGAGGCCTCGGAGAGCCAGCCTAGGACTTTCCCTGTGAGTCCAGGGGCACCATCTCGGTGCCAGTGCCTGGGCCTGGAATCGAATCCGTCTTCTCGCTCACAGGCACCTCCCCCTGGCTGGGCTCCGCGTGGCTGCCATGGAGAACGCAAGTGAGGCTGCCAGCCTGCAGTCAGCTGGCGTGGTGGCATGCAGGCTCATTTGCTGGGTGGCACTAGAAGGCCGTGTCTGTGTCCTTCTCCAACCCTGCCGTTCCTAAGCCTCTGGGCTTCAGCTCTTGTAACAGGATCGTAGAGCAAATGCCTGAGAACTGGGCCCCAAGTCTGTGAAAGTGTTTCTCTCTGCCTGGTAGCAAGGACCTGCAGCCATGCAACTGGAAAAAGACCCAGGCCATGTCCCTGGGTAGGGACGTCGTGAGGAGTGGGGGCTAGAGTCTTGGCCACTTTCTCCTGGTCATTTGGCCCAACCTCTGAACTTCCTGGCTGAGTGGAGGAGGAGGTGGGTAGGAATGACTAGCTGGTCCTGGTTGCAACTCCTTTCTGAGCCATCTGCTTCCATCTCACTGCACCGTCGGCCTGCCTGAAGCAAACCCACAGACCTTGCCACTAATGCCTCCCTCTCCTCCCTCCCCTCCACTCAAGCTGGCTGCTCCAAGATCCTGGCATGCGGCTGAGGACAACTTACAAGGGCTTCACTGAAGCCGTGGACCTCTATTTTGATCACCTGATGTCCAGGGTGGTGCCACTGCAGGTAAAAGCAGACAGCCTCGTTCTTCAATGTTTCTCTCATCTTCCTAATAGATAATCGATAATCCTAGTCACCTGTTTGCAACACAGGAACATGCTCTTCCTTAGTGCCTGAGACTTGTCATTGGTGGGGCTCACAGTAGTTATCTTGGGGAAGATCTTTGCATTTCAGGGTTGTCCCAGGTGTCACTGGGCTGAAAGGCCTGGCAGGTAAGGGCCACATTGCTCCGGATGGTGCCAGAATGGAGCCCCTCATGGGTAGAGGGGGAGGTCTTGCAAACTGAAAACAGCCACTCTCTGGGTTCCAGTAGCGCAGTGGCTTAGTTCTGTGACAAGGAGCACATGTGTCTAGGCCTTTCCTGAAAATTAGCAGGATTCTAGGGGACCAGCAGATGGCATAATGGTTACATTGCTGGACTCTCACATAGTCGACAGTGGTTTAAACTCACACCTGGTGTGCGTACGTGCGTGCCAAGATTTCAAGAGGAGAATGGAGGAGAAGGGATTGTGGCATGGCCATCCTCACTGGCGGGGGATTTCTCACTTCCTGTATCTCTGTCTTTCTGGTGAGTGCCCACATCCTATAGCAAAAACTTCTCAAAAACAAACAAACAAAAAATTAGCAGGATTCTTTGAAATTATAAAATTCTACTCAATGGCTTTTCAAGGCACTTCCCTCTACTACCAAAAAAACGTGTGTTAAGTGGATTTTGAGGGGGAAAGTATCTAAACATTTTATGGAATAATTGGAAACAATAAAAACGCAGGAATGGGAATAATAAACCCAGTTGCTTCTGTAAAACCAAGGAGAGTGACGCTTGAGAAGTTAGTACATCAGGAAATCATTGCTCTCAAGTCAATGGTCTGGAATATCCACAGCACTCAGAAATCAGAAACTACCAGGTAAAATACAGGATGCCCAGTTGAATTTAAATTTCAACTAAGCAGGGAATAATCTTTTTAGTATAAATATGTCCCAAATATTACATGGGCCATACTTACACTAAAAATGATTCTTTGTCTATATAAAAGAATTAAAATAAATTCAAAATTTAAATAAAATTTTGAAAAAAAATTTAAATTTTTTATTAAAATAAAAAATAAATTAAAAATTCTTTTAAAGAATATTTCTTTCTTTTTAAAATTTGATCAGAGAGGGAGGGAGAGAGAAAAAGAGAGAGAGAGAAAGAGAGAAAGCAAGCCTCTGGGTCTGGGACTTGAACTGTAATCGGCTATGTGGGAGTATAGCGTCCTTAACCACCACTCCACCTGCTGGCCCTATGAATTCAAATTTAACTAGGTGTCCTGTAGTTTTGTGTACTAAATCTGGCAGCCCTGATCATGAATGAAGCCAGAAGCTTAGAGCAGGATTAGCCTTGATGCTTGCAAGGAAGATGGGTTTACGGAGATGATTCAGCAGCTTGTAGCAGTAGGCTGGGTGGTGGAGATAGGGAGGGGGCAGTAGGGAAGATCATTCTGGGAATGTAGCTCAGAGGCACACTTAGACATGGAAGTGTCATATCTAAGCTTGTTTTTTTTGGGGGGGAGGGGTGGGAGTAGAACATAATTTTTGTTGTTGTAAAATATGCGTAACAAAGTGTATTATTTTAACCATTCTTGAGCATATGGTATAGCGACATTAAGCATATTCACATTCTTGTGCAGTATCTGTTGCCACCATCTTAGTCCATGTGCGAGAACTAAGAGCCATAGACTGACTAGAGTCATAAACTGGTTGATTTCTCACAGTTCTAGAGACTGGAAGTCCAAGGTCAGGTGCTAGCATGGTTGGGTCCAGGACAAAGCCCTCTTCCAGAGTGTAGTCAGCCAGCTTCTTGAAGTCTTTCCATCTGTTTTGCTAAGTTATTTAATTTGTTGGTGTATAATGTTCATATTCCTCTCTTATAATCCCTTTATTTCTGTAAGATCAGCTATAGTATCCCCTATTCCGTTCCTTGTCTTAGTTGAGTCTTCTCTCTTTTTTTTTTTCCTTTTATTTTCATGCAGAGGGCATGTGTGCATTTGAGAGACACAGAGAGAGAGAGAATACTACCCCCCACCTGCCGTGGGGCCTGGTCACTACAATTTTTTTTTCCTTCCATTTTTCTATCCCGTTAGGATCCTGAGCACAATGTGCATGTGTGCCCAGTATGTATTTAAAGCTACTTGGGCCAGGACTCGAGCCCTGGTCAGCCATATGGGATCCAGGTTTCTTTGTACAGTGCTTACCCTCTGCACTATGGGTCCTGTCCTCTCTCTCTCTCTTTTTTCCTTAGTCAATTTAGTTAAAGGTGTATGAGTTTTTTTTATCTTTACTAAGAGCTCACCTTTGGTTGTTAATTTTTATTTTTATATTCTCCATTTAAAAAAATCTGCTCCATTTTTATTCTTTCTTTCCCTCTGCTACCATTGAATTTACTTTGTTTCCCTTTTTCTGGTTCCTTAAGGTATAAACATTAGGTTGTAGATTTTGTCTTTTAAAGGTGTTCATAGCCTTAAATTTCCTTCTGAACACTACTGTTACTTCATCTTGTGTTTGTTTTTATTTTCATTTGTCTCAACATATTTTCTAACCTCTCTTGTGATTTCTGTTTTAAGTTGTTGGTTATTTAAGAGTGTGCTTTTTAATTTCCACATATTCGTCAATGTTCTAGTTTTCCTTTTGCTGTTGATTTCTAGTTTCATTCTATTGTGATTGGAAAAGGTACTTCAATTCCAAGTCTTCTAAATTTATTAAGACTTGTTTTAGTGGCCTAGCATATAGTCTATTCTAGAGTGAGTTCCACATACCCATGAGAAAAATATGTATTAGGAGACTTCAAAAAGTTTATGGGAAAATAGAATTGAAGTATATGTTTATGGTGAAAAACATTTTGAAATCCAGTCAGTTTTTTCATGAAATACAGTTCCCATGACCTTTCAGAAGAGTCTTTGTATTGTGCTGTTTTGGAGAAGAGTGTTACATATATGTCTGTTAGGTCCACTTGGTCTATAGGTGTGTTTATTGATTCTTGGTCTGGTTGCTTTATCCACTATGTCTGTAGCAATTTGAACATTCTATGATTGTAAAGCTGTCTGTTTTTCCCCTTCAGTTTTGTCAGTTCATATACTATGGAGCTCTGGTGTTTGGTACATATATGTTTATAACTGTTATAGCTTCTTGGTGAATTGACCCACTGATCATTATCTATATTATATTTTATATATATTTTTTTCTTTTGATATATATACCATATATATATATATGTGTGTGTGTGTGTCTGTGTATGTGTATGATATATATTTTGTTCCTTTGTTCCTTTTTCCCTTTGTGACATAAAGTCTGTTGCATTTAAAATTAGTGAGGTCAACCCCAATCTCTTTGGTTACTATTTGCATAGAATATATTTTTCATGCTTTCAATTTTCACCTCTGTGTGTCCTTACATATAAAGTGAGTATCTTGTAGACAGAATATTGGTGAATATTGTTTTTTTTAATCCATTCTGTCAATGTATGTTTTTTTGATTGGAGAGTTTAATCTGTTTACATTTAAATTGCTTATAGAGAAGTACCTACCTCTGCCATTTTGTTGTTTTCTGTGTCTTATAGGTTGTTTTGGCTCTCATTTCCTCTGTTATTGCCTTCCTTTGTGTCTAGTTGACTTTTTGTAGTGTTTATAGTGGTTTCCTTTTCATTTTATCTTACGTACATTCTATAAATGTTTTCTTTGTGACTATGATGACATTACATATAATCTCCTAAGGTTATGACCTTCTGTCTTAAATTGATAACAATTTTAATCACATACACTTTATTTTATTGATATCACAAATTACATCTTTATAAACTTAGAGACTTAATTATTTTTGTGTTTGTCTTTTAAATTTTATAGGAAATAAATGTGGTATTGAAACAAAATTACAATATTAATATATATCTTCATGCATTTTCTTTAACTGGAGAGCTTCATATTTTAATACATATTTTGAGTTACTGTCTAGTATTAATACATTTTAAAAATAATTATTTTTAAAATTTTATTCATTCATTCATTTATTTTAATTTGACCAGAGAGAGACACACACAGAGAAAGAAAGAGTGAGAGAGAGAGGGAAAGTGAGAAAGCAAGCCATCAGGTCCAGGACTCAAACTGTGGTAGGCCAGGTGGGAGTGTCCAGCGCCTTAACCACTATACTACCTGCTGGTCCCCTAATACATGTCTGAGTTACTGTTCTTTCATTTCAACTTGTGTCATTTCTTATAGGATAGATCGAGTTGTAGTGAACTCCCTCAATTTCCTTTTTCTGAGAAAGTCTTAATTTTTCCCTTTTTTTTTTTTTTTTTTTTTAAGAGCGATGTTTTTGTTATAGTGCACATGCACTCATCAGAAAAGTACTCTTTACAGGGATTAGTCACTCTAATTCTCTTCCTCCAATCCTCCAGCTCATTGAATCTTGTTTGTGTGCCCCACGTGTTTGAGACTGACCAGGTAGGGATTCAAACGATAGTCACTATGTGGGCTCTATCTTCTCTCAGACAGGATGTTACTGTTGTGCTACAGAGTCAAGCCTCTCTACAGTTTTTGGAAAAAGGTTTTCTGGATTTAGAATTCTCGATTGACACTTTTATTTTCCCTCAGCATTTGAATGTATCATCCTACAGCCTGCTGGCCTACACAGTTGCTGCTGAGGGACTCCTGAGAGTCCTACTGAGAATCCCTTGTACACAATGAGTGCCTTTTCTCTTGTTTTATTCAAGAATCTGTCTTTGACTTTGAACAGATTGGTTATAATGTGTCTTTTGCATACCCCTGTTTTTCCTTAAATTTGAGAAGTTTTCAGCCATTATTTCATCCTTCTTCTTCTTTGTTTTTTTTTTTTTTTTTTTTGTGGTCTCATACTTAATAGTTTCAAATGACTTAATCTTTATGTTTACTTATTCTTTCTTCTACCTATTTGAATCTACTGTTGAACTCCTACAGTGAATTTTTCAGTTAAGATACTGTAATTTCCATCTCTTTGTTGTTGCTATTCTCATTTTGTTTATATATCACTTTCCTGGTTTAGTTTTCTTTTTGACTTTATTTCTGAGCATATGTATAGCAGTTGTTTTAAAGTCTTTTTTTTTTTTTTTTTTGAGAGGTTTTGCTGTAGGGTACGTGCGCTTGCCAGACAGACAGAGAGAGACAGACAGAAAGCGAGAAATCACCCCCCAGGGGGGATGGTCATGCCGCAATCCCTTCTCCTCCATTCTCCTCTCGCATGCACACGCTCCCAGTGTGAGTTTAAGCCACCAGGTCCGGGACTTGAACCACGGTCGACTATGTGGGAGTCCAGCAACATAGCCATTACACTAACTGCTGGTCCCTAAAGTCTTTTTCTAGTAAGTCTGCTAAATGTGTTTATTCAGTGACTTCCTTGAGATTTATGTTGTTCCTTTGAATGAGTCATATTTCTCTGGTTCTTTGTATGCTTTGTATTTTTGTTGTTGTTGAACTTTAGGCTTTTGAAAAGCAGTTACCTCTCCCAGTCTTTGAAGATTAGCAGTAAAAATCTTCACTAGTTAGTGGGCAACTGAGCCTGGAAGTCAGCTCATGGTGAAGATTTAAGATCTCAGATCTTTTCTAGACATGTGTTCTATCTACACCTGTGTAGATACTCTCTTCTCTCTGGTTGTTTTTAAAAGTCTTTATTTCCCAAAGAGCCCCACCCCAGATTCTTCTTGGGGCCTTACTGTTTCAGCCTTATAGTTCCTTGTCCCTAAACATCTATGCGTTTATAGTCCTCTGAGAGTTTTCACTCACCGTGGCATCCGCTACTGATTTCTGCATTTTCCAGCCTAAAGTTCAAACTGTGTTGATCTCTAAGTCAGATGAGACAGAAACCAGTCCAAGGGGTAGCCCACGGGCAGGCCAGCGCATTATACAAATTCCGTTTTGCTCCTTCCATCCTGAAGGAGGGTACTGGGAATTGGGATACTTCCTTCTAACTATATTGAGCAGAAGGGAGGGCAAGTGTGAGTAAAAACATCACAAAATTTTCTACCAAGTTGGATGTGACTTTTTCTTGATTGGGTGGTTATGTGTTTACTTAGATCTTTTGCTGGTTTCCAGAACTCCTAAAAAGTTACTTTGGCCAATCTGTACTTGTTTATTTGATGTTTCCACGGTAGAGGTGCCTTCCACTCCACTGTCTTACTGTTGTCTCTTTCAGTGATATACCGAACGTATTGGACATTTTGTTTTCAAGTGGTAGATGTTGCTAGTAATTGGTGACAGGTGTGGTGAAGCTGAATAATATAGTTTCCACTACTTGGAGTCTGATTGTTCATCTCTTCTCCCCAGTACAAGCATGGGGGACCCATCATTGCTGTGCAGGTGGAGAATGAATATGGTTCCTATAACAAAGACCCTGCTTATATGCCTTATGTCAAGAAGGTAAGAGCTTAATTTCTTTATTTGCTTTCCTTCCACAGGGCTGTGGTTTGACAGGTGGGCCTAATATTTTCTCATATTAATATCACATCTTCCAACACCATTTTAATTAGTGAACTTTTCTCCATGGTTTATTTGACAGGGTTGTCACTTATCTACTCCCTTAGGGTGATTTTAATTGGGCATTGCAGTACCCACATGATGCAGCAGGGTCTGAGAATAAAGGAATTGATTTATTGAGTGACGATGAGCAGGGAAGACTTCCGGGCAAGGCTGTATGTGTTCCATTGCCTGAAGTGGTGATTCCCAGCCTTGGCAGCACGTTGACTTTATCTAGGAAGTTTTCGAAAATCCTATGCCCAGGTCATATATCATGCTAATCAAATAAGGATCTCTGGTGTGGTCCTTGGCCACATGAGTCCAGCATGTTGGGGAGGTTAAGTAGAAGCACCGATTAAACACACGGCAGGTGAGGCAAGGGCAGGCTTAGAGTAACTCTTAAAAGACCAGGCTGATACCCAGATCCCGTTTCTGCCACTTAGCAGCTGAGTCCTCGAACAAGCACCTTACTGTTTTTGAACTTCCCTTTTTCTTCTGTAAAGTGGGACTGCTAAGATGTGTCTGGCTCTTGGAATTGTGAGAACCATGCGATCATGTGGCTCGGTACTGTCATAGGTGTGCAGTAAATGATCACTAAATGAGGCTTGGATGCAGTCACTGGCGTTGGCTTTGGAGTCCCAGGGAGAGTGGCCATGGCAGGTATGGAGGGACTGTCAAGTGACCTCAGTGAACCACCTAATTTAAGGCCGAGTGACTTTTGCATTGGCCCTTGATGCCTGGTACCACACGTCGATGAACTTACCATCCGGAAATGATTTCATTCCCTGCAGAATAGAGACCGAGGCTCCAACACTCCAGTTTGTGGGTTCTTATCCACTCTTCTCTCCTCCCTTTGTCCCCGCAGGAGGCCCTCTTAGTAAGGGATGGGGTCGTGTCCGGGTAGGGTGGCTCTCAGGCTGGAAAGCGGGAGAGCTCAGTCGTGACCCTCAAGTCCAACCTCAGTCTGGATGAGAGCACACCTCTAGCTTCCTCTTTGTCGGAATTACCTGGGAAGACCCCTCCCAGGCATTGGGTTCAAGAGCTTCTCCTGGTACACCTAGCTCCCTCAGCCTGTCTCCTGGGCCCTGGGGCTTTTCTAGCAGTTGTTTACTTGGTGCTTAGCTGCAAAAGAGAGCGCCACTGAGCAGCAAGACAGGAGCACAGCCTTTCCAGGGCCACCTGCCCACTCGGCCCTGCTTCTCTGGTGTCTGGCAAAGGTCCCCACATGTGACACAGGTGGACAGAAAGCAGTAGCGCCCCCTCTGTTGACCTGAAGCTCTCGAGCAGCCCCTCATGAGCTGCTGCGTAACTTTTCCTGGAGTGTTGCAGAGATGTGGATGCTGCCACTGTGGGGCGGCTTCGAGCAAGCCCCCTGCCTTTCTGGGCCTTATGTCATCAGGTGCAGCAGGCCTTCCTCTAAGGCTGCCTTGAGGTAACAGACACAAAGGCCCGCTCTGCTTGGCTCACTGCCGTACTCAGAAATAGGAATGATCCCTTTATGGTAGGGAGTCAGCCAACTGTTGCCCACGAACAGTGAAGTGTCAGTGCTAAATATTGGGGAATGAGTGAGCTCACCTGTCCTCACAGATTAAACTCTCCAGCTTCCATCATCCCTGACAATGGTTGCCCCTTCTGGTCTCTTCTTACCAACATGTGCAATGAAATATGAGCTTCCTTTCTTTCTTTTTTCTTTTTTAAGAATTATTTATTTTTTATTTACTATCACTATTACCACCCTTTAATTTGACTAGAGAGAGAAAGAGAGAGAAAGCAAGCCACAGGTCCGGGACTCAAACTGTGGTCGGCCATGTGGGAGTCCAGCGCCTTAACCACTACGCCACCTGCTGGCCTGAGACGTGAGCTTTCTTCACTCATTGGTTATACTCTGCTTCTCTAATTTCCAAAAGAATTAAGTTGAAATAAATAATCTTTTCATAATATCTGTGGGTGAAATTATAGGGAAATCCTCCTGGCTGGGGTTTCTTTTTTTTAAAACAATTATTTATTTACTTTTATTTATTCATTAATTTGTTTTTAATTTGACCAGAGAGAGAGAGAGAAATACAGAAAGAGAAAGTGAGAAAGCAAGACACCAGGTCTGGGACTCAAACCGTGGAAAGCAAGACCCCAGGTCTGGGACTCAAACCGTGGTTGGCCATGTGGGAGTGTCCAGCACCTTAACCACCACGCCATTCAAGAGAGTTCAGGCCCCATGGGAACCTTTGGGATATCGAGACCCCAGGCTCTGGCCTGTGCTCTCTCATTGGCTCTGTAATGAGTGATTCTTTTCACCTGAGGACAAGCACTGACTTGGGAGTGCAGGGCGGTGTGGGTCAGGTGCTCAGGGGGTGGGGGGGATGGTGGTGGGGAGCTCTGTTACCACCAGAGGGCAACAGCCAAGCACAGTGATTCTTTCCCTCCCTCCTCCTCTGAAACCCGCCCTCCAGGGAGCACTTACCACTCCACCGCGCATGGGCAGTGTGCTATGGGCAGGGGCTTGGCCAGCTAGGCCGTCCTTGCCCTGGCTGTTGCCCAAGCCTGCTCCAGCTCGCTGTGGAGACAGGCTTCTTTGCTCATGGTGTGGGTGAAGGGGAAGATGGGGATGTTGTCCCAAGGGCCTGACCCACTCCCTGGAGCCCAGCAGGCAGTTGCCAGGTGACAGCATGGCAGCAGGTGCCCCTGAGCTAGCCTCTGAGGAGCAGTGACCCAGTGAAGCTGGGCACCTTGCCACATTGGGAACAACCAGGGGCTGCCAGAGCTGGACAGTTCGCCCTGCTGCCACTGCAATTCAGGGTTACTGGGGCTTTGCTAAATACGGCGCAGGCAGACAGGACAGCATTTCTGTTTTCTGCAGAGAAAGTCATGGTTGTTTGGTCTCCCCTCCTGCTGTTTAGGCTATCCTAACTGCAGAAGGTCTGAGGAACGAGGACAGGACTTTTTTTCTTTCTTTCTTTCTTTCTTTCTTTCTTTCTTTCTTTCTTTCTTTCTTTCTTTCTTTCTTTCTTTCTTTCTTTCTTTTTCTTAAGTTTCTTTCTTTGGGGAGCAAGAGAGAGACAGAGACAGAAAGAGACCGAGACAGAGACAAAGAGGCAGGCTCCCCCACCAGGGTCTTCATGCTCTGATCTGTCCTCAGCTCCAGCCAGTCCCGATCCTGGGTATGGGTGCGCCTGTGTATTCAGAGGTTTCCACATGCAAACCAGAACCTTCCTATGTGGGTGAGCCTCGAGGAGTCCCTTCTCCTGCTGTCAACCTGGAGAGTGTTACCACAGCACTGACCACTGTCCAGCCCCGAGGACAGAGCTGACCCCTTGCCCCTACCCCTTGCAGGCCCTGGAGGACCGCGGTATCGTGGAGCTGCTCCTGACTTCAGACAACAAGGATGGCCTGAGCAAGGGCGTCGTTCCTGGAGGTACTTGTGCGGAGCCCAGGCAGGCGGGCGGGTGGGCAGCTCTCCCAGCTGGGCTGTGCATGCTTCCCCAGGTGGGTCGAGGCCTAGGCAGGAGTCTCTCTCATGCCAGCCCTTCTCCTGTGGGTGTGGCACTGAGCTGGGAGCTCGGGGTGCAGAGGGCTGGGGATCTGTGTCAGAGACCAGCACAGCACAGCCTGCTCTGTAACGGCCTCCCCTCCTGCTGATCACGCAGTCACTAGCCGCGCTCTCGGGTTGCGCCCTGCTGCAGACTTCCTTCCATTGGAAAATCGCAGCTCTGTTTCCCCCAACTGCACAGGCCCCAAACCCGGTAGTCCTCAGCGTCTCTCCCCTGTACACCTGTCACCTGAGTCATCGTTGACATGTCCTTCATACCTGTAGCTTTAGCAATGGAATAATCTGGATTCACATATGCTCTACCACCTCAGCTATGAACCGTCATTTCTCACTTGCATTATTACAATCGCATTTCCACTGATCTCCCTGTTTTTACATTCTTTTCTGTCCTTCATGGTTAGTGGGTATCCTTGACAGGACTCAGTCATGTCCTGCTCTCCCCACCCCGTGCCTCCCATCAGCCAGGATCGTGGGTGGGCCCAGGGCCTCCGAAATGGCTCCGGCACCTCACAGCAGTGCCCTGGCCCTGGGCCACCACGGCTAGGCCTTACCGCCCTTTCTTCATCGACACCTCCGCCATTTCCCTCAGAGCAGCAGCCTGGGCGTGCCCTGAACGGGTAATGTCTTGTTCCTGCACTTGCACGCCAGGTCCCTGTCACCCGAGTGAAGCAGCAGCTCTGAATGACCCCAGAGGGTCTCCCCATGTGGCTGCTGGGCCCAGACAAGCTGGCCTCCTGCTCCCCCCTTCGTGCCCACACTCTTCCACCTTCTTGGTCTCCTGGCTGTTCCCAGGCAGGACCTCCCTGGGCTTGGGGACTTTGATGTCGTCCAGAGGCCCACATAGCTGCTCTTGGAGGTCACCTTCCCAGCAAGACTTGCTCTGACACCCTTGAATTGCACCCTGGCTCTCCTAGCCCTGTTTCCCCGAGCCGGCTGCCTTTGCCTGTCTCCCTGCCCCAGCAGGCTTGGGTGGGGCTGGTTTCACCTGTGGTGTGGGGCTGAGCTCTCACCAGACACAGCAGGGGCCTGGAGGGTGGAGGACCCTCTGCCAGCGCCTGCAACCTGCCTGCTCTGCTGCCCTGCAGGCTGGACTCTGCTTCTTCACGTTTCCCCCCAAGGCTGAGTTCTCATCGATAGGGCTTTGATCTCCACGTCCTGCTGCAGTGACACGTGGGTGGGCACTCAAGGGAGGCTTGGATGAACAGAGGTGGCTCTTGTCCCCAAGCAGGCCAAGACCCAGATGCTGCAAAATTTCCTGCTCTTTCCACACGGTGGCGCTGTCTGCCATGGCTGCGCCCAGAGAGCTGGTCCCAGGGCTCTGGGAGGGGCCGCGGCTGCGGAGAGGCGACTCCTGCTTATGCGCGCGCGTCCTCCCCTCCGGAGGCCTTGGTGCCGCCTGCTGCCTGGAGTGATTTTTAAAAAATTAATTATAAATGGTAATAACAGTAGTGCAACAGCATGGTCTGAAAGGATAGGACGTGTGACAGAGGAGCACAGGGCTGCTGCCTCTCATCCATTCCCCAGAAGTGAACATTTTCTTGGGATGTTTTCCTTCCTGTTTCTAAATAATTTACACAGAATTCTGCATGTATTGCTTTAAAACTCTACCAGCTGCCCTCCTGTCCAGCAGGTGGCCTCGTTTTCTCTGCCATCCTCACTTTCTGCCAGGGTGGCTGCTCCCCAGGCCCGGTGGTGTCACATCTGTGCCGGTGCCGTCGGTTCGTACGGCCTGTCTGCGTGCTCCTGTACGGCGCCTGAATTCTCCACTTGCCAACTGACCTGCTTTTCAGGGTGCTTAGTTTTCACTTTCACTGAAATTTTCCTGTTTTGGTTTATGTGTTTGCTTCGTTTTTTTCCTTATCCTTCCTCCCCCTTCCTTTTCTCTTAAGTAAATGTTTGTCCGCAGCAGTTCTCCCCCGCGGCCTGCTGTGGCTGTGGGGACCTCGCGCTCAGGCTCTCATCTCTGGGCGCTGACGCAGAGCTTCCAGCCTGAGATGCCTCTGGTCCCTCGGGCATCCTGAATCCCGGGATGAAGGCCCCAGTCACTACCTTCTAGCATCCGGCGACATTCTGGTCCTGGTCCTTCTGTACGGTGTACCTCCGCCCCCCGCCCCCAGGTCCTAAACATTTTAGAATTCCCTCCCTGTCCTTGGCATTGTAGTGTTGGTCAGAAACGTCCTTTGTGTGAGCCTGTTTGCAGTCATGGCACTTAGTGACTGCCTGCATTGGCACAGCCACGTCGCTGGTGGCGGGTCGCGTGTCCTTGACAGGCGTGGCCCCTTTTCCGACCTGTTCCTGGGCTGCGTGCAGTCGGCCTGCGTATTCGTCCTCCGAGGCTCCTGTCTCTGCTGCTTTGACCCTCGAGTTCTGCTTTCTCGGTGACTTCTGCAACATTTTCCCTCCAATGCTGGTTCCCGCGAATCACGTATTTCTTGAATGTATTCCTTTTTTCACAGAATACTGTCTGAGTGGATATTATCTCTCTTAGCGTCTCTGAGAATATTTTCCTTTTTTTAACGCCGTATTTGTTCCCTTTGTTGGTTCAGCTTGCTGTTTCCTGTCACCTGTTCTGCTCCATCTTCCACGTGAAGGAATGTGATCAGTTATCTGACTCTTTTAAATATTTAAAAAAATTTATTTCCAATATGAGAGTGAGAGAGAACAAAGCATCCTCACCAGGGTCTCCCGCCACGTTCCCCTAGCCCTCCTAGCAGCCAGGGTCGTGGGCACGTGTGCCAGCCTGTGCAGGTCCCCAGGAAACCATGGCCGTGTTCCATATGGGCTTGGCGTCGTTTACCAACGTGTTCTTCTGTGTCTCTGAGCCAGCATCTTGATCTCCCAGTGCTTCCTGAGCAGCTCTGGGCGTGGGAGAGGCTGCTGACAGGAGTCTTTCTCTGCGGGGCAGTCGGGCTGTGGTGGCTGTTTCTAGGGGAGAGGACAGATGCCCATGTTGGAGAGAAGAAGGCTTCAGCTTCCCGCTGCAGGTGTTCGGGGGTGTCTGGAGGAGCAGGCGGGAAGCGGCTTGTTCCGATGCTGTGATCCCTGCTTCTGTCTGCCCTCCCACCTTTCATCCCAAGCTCTCCACATCTGGAGCTGCCGGGGTCTAGCTCTTGCAGAGATGTGGTCCCCTCAAGGGGACAGGCGCAGGGTGTGACTTCCTCCCCTTTCCAAATCCGTTGTCGTCACCCCATCCTTTCTCAGTGCCCTAGGACTGCCTTGGCATGTTCTCTCTCCATCTTGTCCTCGGCCGCCGACCCTCCATCCTGATCTGTAGGTTAGGGAAGTGCTGGGAAGGCCAGGAGACAGGTGTTCATGTCCAGTAGCCATGCACGTCCCGCTGACTTCTGAGATCACCTGGTCACCTTCAGATGGGTCTCTTGTCTTCAGGGGGTTTCTGCCTGTAAGCAAGGAGGTACCTGGGTGTAGGGTGTCACCTGATGGGTTGCTGGGGGACAGGGACATCACAGAACAATGGGCCGGTGTCATATGGGCCTGGGTCATATGGGCCTGGGTTTGCAGCCCGACTCTGCTGATGGCCTGGAGGCAAGGTTTCCCCTCCCCCAGGGGCTCAGTTACTGTCTCTCTTCTCTGATCATCAGGGGCTTATGTATGGCAGGAGGTGTCAGGGCGTCCAGCTTGCTGGGCCAGCTCAGCCCCTACTCTTAGGCCCGCTGGAGCTCAGGACAAGGCCCGCGCACATTGGTTGACTGTCCAGGTAGACAGCAGGTGGAAGCCTGAGCGCCTCGTTCTGCAGCTGGGGCAGGTCGAATGCTCAGTGGCCATTGGCCAAACACGGGTCTTTCTTGAACAGATGTTTTGCTGATGGGAAGTCACTGCAAACACTTAAAATTTTTCAATGAACACATCATGAGGTGGAATAGAAAGGCAGTTCTCATTAAGAAACAGAACAGGAGTCTTCGTCTGGCTCATTCCCTGAATAGGGTGCTTAGGGTGCAGAGTGAAGACCATCCTCTGGCTCCCCCCTAGGAACAATGAACAGCAGGCCTGCTCTGCTCATGGAACCCTGCCACTCGGGGGCATGTGCTTTGTGAGCATGCAGCGTCAACCCTGTGCTGAGCAGTAGCATGTCTGGGAGGGACCAGCAGTCTCTGGGCATCAGAGGGGCTCCTGCCAGTTGGACGTGGGGACCAGCATCCAGGGTGTCGGCTGTGCTGGTCCGAGACTGTGAAGGGTCTTCCCGATCTGAGCAGTGTCCTTTCCCCTCCCTGCTTCCCTTCGCAGCACTGGCCACCATCAACTTGCAGTCACAGCACGAGCTGCAGTTACTCAACACCTTTCTCGTGAATGCCCAGGTGAGTCCACCCAAGGGAATCTGCTGGCCCTGCTCGGCCAATGTGGCCACAGGCCTGCAAGGGGACAGAGGTGCTGCTGTGGGGGCTGATG